GTGTGTGTGTGTGTGTGTGTGTGTGTGTGTGTGCGCGCGCGCGCGTGTGCGTGAGCGTGTGTGTGCATGTGCGTGTGTATTACGTATCATCATATAGTTCGTAATGGAATAATTTGATATATACCAATACATGCTCATGATCTGATGTTTCCATAATATGTGTAATCATTTTTTATTCCTACTTTGGAATTTATTATATATTTGGAATAATATTTATATATTTGGAATATATTTGGAATTTATATTGTACCTTCTTATGTGAATCATACCTGTATTACATTTCTCCTAATTTGAGTATTATCATGCTTGCTTTTTAGTATTATCATAAAGCCGATTGCTTTTTATTGTTCTTCATTGTGCATGTTTTTGTGTATCTATCAAACTTGTTTATTTCAATTAACCATTCTATCTTCTCGCGTATTACGTTATTATATAACAAGTGTACGTGTGCGGTGGGACTGGCTGGAAGGCAGGGTCGTTTCCTGCACTATAATTGTGAATAGATATATTACAATTAATATATATATATATATTGGAAATGCTGACGGCGTAATTAAATACTTTTTAATGTGAAATACAAAATAGGACCTATGGAAAATCTTGCTACTACGCAGTGTTTTGTAAAATCTCGGGTCATTGCCAGAGCCGTGCATGAAGCTGGATACATTTATTTGCACCTTCACAACGATAGATGGCAGCAGTGATCCGCGTGTTCTGAAGTTGCAGTTTTGTTATATTCATAGAAATATATAGAGAATTATAAAAAATAATTTCGTAATATATCTATATACTAGGCTAATTTGTATATTATTTGTATGGTTATATTTGCAATAATAAAGAAAATGAAAAAAATAAAAAACTATTTTCCTCTCTAAGGGGATTCGAACCTGTCACCTGTGTCTCTCTGTGCCCCGCCCATCCTGACTTTGCGCCCACGAAAAAAAAGCCTAGTGTGCCTTTGCGCACACGAAATAAAATTCCAGTTGCGCGATGGTACAGTCGGTAGAGGTGGATTTGGTCAGTTTTAGCTTACTGGAGACAGAGAGGTGACGGGTTCGAATCCCCGAGGGTAAAATTTTCATTTTTATTTTTTCCTTTATTATTGCTGTTTCTAATGTTCCTGCTGCTATTCCAAGCTATATCTAAGTAACCGAATAACAGAATAACATTAAATTTAATATCTAATTATAATATTTTCTTTACTTTTTACGTTTTACTTTTCCTTTTTTATTGTTATAATTTCTAATGTTCCTAACGTTCTTCTGAGCAACAGAATAAAGATATTTTTATGTTTTTTTCCCTTAATATTGTAATTCCTAATTTTCATAATCGTATGTTTTACTCTCAATACACTTGAGAAATTGTACTTTCCACTTGGAACTATAGTTGGGCATGCAGGACCCTATAGAAGGAAATGGGACTGAAGTTGACCAGTGTTCAGCACGATGGACAATAAAACTTGAAAGCAAGAGAAATGTTTCTCGCGACGCAGGGTGGCTATTATTATTCCATACAGGTATTGACAGCATCGATCAGTAAGTCGCCAAGTAGCATCACATCTGCATTTCAGTAGTGACACTGTAAAAATACTACTATGGCTGGGGTTGAGGTGCAGTTAGAGGCGCAGTTCTGTTCATGCAAAAGCAGTGGAATTTTGCTTCTTGCTTATACTGATATGAAAATGCAATTACCACGGAATTTACAGTGCATTTATTAAATACTTTTCATCAATAAAGCTTTTCAACAATGAGCAATCTGTTGCAGCCATTAGAAGCTATAGATTCACAAAACTTTAAAACAGTACCTGAAGGTATCTGCATAGCCTGTTTCCTAGCAATACAGATCCAAAATTGACTAGCTTCCCAGCATGCAGGGAACAGTATAGCTGAGAGGGTCTATGTCCCCCAGGGTACTGCCGGAACGTAACCTGGGTACGGTCCGGTATACCGGAACGTACCCTGGTACCAGAGCATATAAATCAACGTGATTTATATGCTCTGCTGGTACTATCTAATATGCCGGACCATACCTCGGCTACTCCTCTAACGAGTCTAGGGAGTCGCCTACGCCTACTCCCTAACCCTAACCATATCAGATAGTTACCAGGGTACATTCCGGTGGCAGTACCCTAGGGGACATAGACCCTATGAGCAACAGTATACATAAGAAATACATAATCGTTCACAAAGACAGGCAGTTTAGACTGAAGAGTTGTAACGAATTGCCAGTTATTTTGATGAAACGAGTTTTGTGAATCACATCATCAATTGTCATCATTTATAATATGACATACAATTAATTTTACCACGATATTATCAGTGGTAAAGGACTTAGCAACTATTTACTGATCAGTTATGTGATAGAATAACCATGCTTACACTTTAACATTTCTCACCTTATATGTTATGCTCACACACTTTCCTTCGATTATATACAAATTAGGTCCAATTACCATGAGCATCCTCTGTTCACTAATAACTATTTACTTGCATTATGAAATGCAATCTCTCACAACTTAATTCCTAGTTACGATCCCAATGTTAATTCTGGACGCAGAATCACTACAGGAGAAAGAAAATTGACAGCTCCTTACTTTTGCACAGCGAGCATGCACCTCTTAGCAAACAATGAGGTACTCTCTCATAAGGAGTGAAATCTACACTAGGGTCTAACACCAGCCCGGAGACCAGAAACCCTTGAAATGCGCAGGATCGCCTCTGCTGTCATCTGGAGGGAAGTCTGGCCAAACTGCTTGTTTGTGGTATTCCGCCAGTCTTTGACTGAGACTGGCAACAAGTTCCGGATAAACATCGGCGAGGTTGTAATGCTCGTTTGGATCGACTGCAAGTAAAAACATTTGCCATTACATCTTATCAATCCTTATATCTTAGCAATAATAAAAATATTGCACGTGCAATTGTTACGCCCGTTCATCATGTAAGTAAACAGCATTAAATAACAGAGAAAATGCGCTAAATTCACGACCGAGCAGCAGGACAAACTAACAAGAATGCCATCTTTTTTAGGAGAGAACCACGCATGCGCGCCGTTTAATACAAACATAAAATACATGGATGGTACATTTCGTACATTAGAAATACTATATTAAAAATCATTTCTTATCCACACAATGTACATGTAATAATTTGCAAGCAATTGATTCACTAATCTGGTATGCGATGCTACTATTTTTTTCTTCTATCCTGGGAACGTTAGCCCTGTATTTTCGATCCAGGAATGAGCATGCAGAAGAATATTTGACTCCGTGGTCAGATGCGTCGTAACTTGCTATGAAATCATAATGTTATGATGTCATTATCGTAACAGCAGCAACGTATTAGCCAGCGAGCCGTGCAGCCGTGATTTACACGGTCAGTTTTGAAACTGCACAGCAAAAGAAAATTTCTGGGGGAGGCCCCCCCCCCCCGTTAATGCCTACAGTACAGTGGTCTTGGCTGAGACACACAAAATTGCACTCCCACAATACTCATTCCTGGCTAATACCATGAACAGCAGTCATAGTGTGAACTTGTGTATAGAATTCTACACGTGGAGGTCATGAGTAAAAAATACACGATGCCAGACTGCTCGTGCCTACCACAGATGTGCCAACACATATTTGAAGCAATCTGTAGTTTCTGGCCATCAAATTAGTAGTTCGAGGGTCACGTAGTGACCTGAGTTTGCTAGGGGGGTCCGGCATGCTGGCCATCAAATTAGTAGTTCGAGGGTCACGTAGTGACCCGAGTTTGCTAGGGGGGGGTCCGGCATGCCCCCCGGAAAATTTTTTGATTCTGAGGGTCAAAAACGACAATAAATTGACAAAAAATGACAATAATTGACAAAAACCAAAAATTTCCCGATCACAGTGAAATTCATAGTTTGATACAAACTGGTCGTAGTGGTGCAAAAGGAATAGAAATTCGTATAAAATACGGATAAATCGTAGTAGTTGGCATCTCTGCTACCATGCTCGTGGGGAAATCCACGTACTATGAACGTAATAATCACGGACTCTAGAGATTAAATAAGGCAGATTAGATAAGGAGATTAGATAGGCAGTCCGTTAGTAGTACGTGGGAGTATGTGTATTTTGCAACAGACTGTAATTTGGTCCATAATAGTTTGTGGCTCTCCGTGCATTTTGCACCATTTACGTGTTTAGTCCATATTATACGTATCAGATTCTTCCAGTTCTTAGCGATAAGTACCATTGCTTACATTCAAGGTTGAACAGGTAGACAGATACATTTTGTCTATCCATTATCGCAGACTCTGATCCCCATAGCCTGTCAATGTGCTTCCCACCACTCCATGATGTTGGAGGGAAAATCCAGCCAGATGGCTCCCCAGGTGGCCCTTCTATTAACTTGTACTGCCCCAACCTGTAGTAATACATACACAATAAGCTACAATTACAAGTGGTTCCTCTATCGCTTGCAATGACTTCATGATAGGCTATCTAGAACTCATCATTCTCTTACACGGTGAATGAGAAAAATGGAAAATGTCCCAATTTAGCTGTGGTACGGAATAAGCGGTGAACACAGTACAACGTGCATAGGGAATCTTTTTCAAAACAACAATGTCATTTAAGCGATGCACCTGCTTATCCAAGGCTTGATAAAACGGGGACCAATGTATCATGAACACATTAATACTAAGGTATAGAACTATATATAGATATATAGTATAGATTTCTTCATGCTTATACAAATAGGTTGGTTTCTCCACGCGTAGAGCAGTTTTACTTATCGGTACCTGATAGCCGAATTCCCTTTGATCTGATCAATATTGTAGACAAATTCGTGTCTCGGCCCAGGCTTCCCTTTACTTAGTGATGCCCAATGGCTCAAGCCATCTATCGCAGAACCTAAGATGTAGAATCAAAGGTTTATGTGCAATGAATATATATATGCACCAGCTGTTAATGTTCCACAGTCATACATGATATCGCGCAATACAAATCGTACTTACTTGTTTTTCCCTGAGCTGCTGCTACAATAGTTGGAAACCAATCCACTGCATGAAACAGGCTGCATGAAACAACAAAAATAGATTCAGTGAATAACACGGTTACGTGGCCGTAGACCTGTGTAAGTGGCCCTATCTTGTGTAAAGGTTACATTTTGAGACAGGGAATTATACACGTACAAACATAACTAATACCTTCCCGGTATATATATATGAATGCAAAGATAACATACGTAGGGGCTCACTAGATCATTAAATTTCATTTCCTTACAAGAACCATGTGACATTTCTCAGGAAAGCATGCTTGCTTGAACCTTAAACCACCTCAAGGTGCATCTGAACCTGTTGCAGGATTGTGAGATGATAATTCGAGATAAAGACGAAGAATAATAGCAGTAACAACAATAATAATAACAGCTCTAAAACAACTTGAGTTTTACTAACTACCTAACGAGTCACTAACTGCGCCTTCCTACGTGTAGACTCACACTCTTCTGAAACACGAAAACCTAAATCGTGAGCACGAAATGAAATCCAGTAGGACGGAAAAAAAAGTAGTGAAATCCCATTGGTATTTAATCGCACAGCCGTACTCACTCGCTGCGTACAGAACCAGGGTTCCCCACTCCGGCACCGTGCACAAAGCTGACGCCGCGGGTTCCTCCCTCCCACAGTGTCGCCTTGTTGCCTCGAAGAGGGTAGTTGTTCCCGCCCGATTTCGTTTGGCCTCCGTTCTGAAATGTTTGCAAGCAAAATTTAGGTACATTAACTTCAACAAGCCATTTACTCGTTCAACAAGCCAAGTACATTTACTCTTCATCAAGCCAACGAGTAGAGCAATAATCTGTGAGTAGCCTACTAGCGTTGCATCCATAGAAATATACAGACATTATATATAGTACCAGGAGTGTATAATATAGAGATATTATACACCTCTGATAGTACTAGACATAGACACTATACAGTCTGACTAGCATATTATTTCTATGGTTGCATCTTATACAGCTATTTTACGCTACTATCACCACTACGATTCATGAAACGCTGTGGCATGCTACCAGCTGCCACCTGATTATGCTGCCCATCTATTTCTATACATCCAGAGTTTAATATATTTGTAAATTCAGCAGGATGTTGAAATCTGCATTTCACGTTAATCAGAGGTCAGCTAAAAATACAGTTCTGCTTACTTACGGGTCAGTGAAACTATCTCAATCATTTTTTATAACTGCTAATTAAGTTATCTATACGAGCACATTTTCAGGGTAAATAGGGAACAAGGTTAGTATTAAATTTCACGTGGAAATGAGACATTTGGAGTAATAAGTTCCACGTGAAACATAATTCTGAAAAATCTGTTATTTGTTTATTTGTCATATACTTGGTTTCTTTTCAGTCTTGCCTCAAGGTGAGACTGCATCCATTGCATTAGTTTACAACACATTTCCACAACACATATCAACATAACACAACATACTGACATATTATCAGGAGTAAGATAATATAGGATATTATAGGAATTAATATATATAATATAGGATTATATATCAATTATCTTACTCCTGATATTATAGCATAAGATCTGGCAATTTTGCCTACAATATTAAATCCAGTGCCTTACGTCGGTAGTGAATACGATGAGTGTATTTTCCAGCTGTCCTCTACGCTTCAATGCAGCCGTGACGTTGCCCACAGCTTCATCCAGCGCACTTACCATACCTGACATCATAGAACAGATAACACGAGTGTTATTCATCAGTCATTTGCACGCCCGCACACACTCACGCACGCACGTACGCATGCACACACAACACGCACACGCACACGCACACGCATACGCACACACACACACAAAATCATATGACATATCGTATTCTTGCTTTCAATTGAATTCAATTCGATTAGATACAGTGAAAGCATCCATCCGTTTACCGCAATACTTCCTGCGCTGGTGATCCCGTATGTGTTCATACATGCGACTGTACTTGGCTGGCACCTGTAGTGGCGAGTGCACAGCTTGGAACGGTAGATACATGAACAGCGGGCGACTTGTGTCATGCTCGTTAATGACATCGACAGCCCGTCTCGCGAACAGGTGCTGAAATTAACAAACAGATAAAGAAAATTATATCACGTAAATATTTTATCTTCTGAAAACTGTCTATCGTGACAACGCACTATTTATATTCAGTATTAATTTATAGATTAATGACCTTTTGACCATATAAAATAGCCAGAGGTAGGTAACTGTATTCTAATACAAACGAGGGATGTGTAGTGCAAAATTTATGGTTCGGACATAATGAAACCCATAATATACGTTAAAATCATCGACGTGGAATGTCAGGTTTATTGCATACTCACAGTTGAATAGGTGCTATTCTCTGTCTTCAAGGATGAATTGTTAAATCTCAAGTCAATGCCATGACATTTCCCAACGGCTAAAAATATGTAGATGTATACAGTTGGATGGTACATTCAAGCTAATCTACATCTTAATTAGCATATTCAGGCATACATGAACATGTACATCACGTGTTTCTTACAGAATGCGGGTATGTGATTAAATGCATACTAATACATACAAGTTTAACTTATATTTGCTAATTTTCATATATATATAATTGGATATATGTCTATTCCTATGTACTTTGACTTGTGACCACCCTGGTTGATGTATCTACCGGAATTATTTACATTCTACTAGCTGGACCTGGCCGTTTCAGCTGACTAAAAACATGCCAAAATTGTATTCTGATAGATGTAAACTTCACCTAACCTAATCATTTGATTACCAATCACAATCAACATATTAGGGGTTAAAAATGTCTTCATATAACTTTTTACAGAATTGGTTCTCAGCTTCAGTGTAAAACTAGTGACATTCGATTTTTTCTAAAAAAAATACGTACTGCGCTCATGCGTGTAATAGTCTTCGCTTCCCGTGTAATAACCGAGAAAGCTATCGAAACCTCGTTCGAGCGGTGTGTAGGCCCACTTACAAAATCCTAAGTGCCACCTGCAATGCGTTTTAACTGACTAATCTATTCACGTCAATTGTAGTGCACGTAGAAGAAACATATAACACTATAAAGCAATTGTAAGTACAAACATTACACCTCAGTTGTTGGTAAAGAGTACCTGGGTAAAGACCAATATGAAAACAGAAATGCACTTGATATTATTTACAAAAGCATCCAGAAGGATGGGAAGAGGTGAGAAATTGTATACAAAGTATGCTGTGAAAAATATACAGAATAATTTGATGCACAACCATAATATATTAGGGGATTTTTGCCTTTAAACATGCCCTAGCTATTCCTGACTCATCAGCCAAAAATTAAACTATTAATTAGTAAGTTTTAACTTACTTCCCAACGACATGTGTTGCATATCCAAGTCGCTTTAATTCTTGAGGTAAAAATGTTTTGTTAAGTTGCACACCGTGTGGCTGCAATGGCCATATGACACTGTGCTGGTGAAAAATCAGAGTGTTTTACATTACATCACTATGTTACATTTACATCACCCCACTTCCTGACATACGATTGACACCTCTTCACATTATCTACATCATTATAGAACATAACTGCAATATAATCAATTTCTCCAAATCATGTGCAATAATATCACGTGTACATCTTAAAAAAACACCTACCTGTAAGCCTACACGAAATGGATAATAACCAGTCATGAAAGCTGTCCTAGACCTGAAAGTATTAGCAGTCTTAGAAATATGTTTAAAACCCCAACCAGTCCCTATTTTCAAAAATGTAAATTTTTATTATATATCACATGGTAAAATCCATAACAATTAACCAATCCTGCTAAAAAGTTACCAGTCCTAGCCTGTGGGGGGGGGGCTGCTATCCCCAACACTGTTAGAAATATAACCTACTATAGGAACATGAGGTACTAAATCAGCAAGTAAATGAATTCAATTTCATGTGTAAGGAACGTCTGCTCACTACGACAATCATTTCTGCAATCAAGGAATTAATTATAATTAAAGTTTTTAACAATACAATCGAGTAAATTTGAAAAAGCATATTTCCAATCTACAATAAAAATTAAAAGAATACCATATATATATCTCATAGATATTAATTCTTGGCAATGATTGTCATTAAACAATACTCAATGAAAACATACATACGGAGAGCAAACTGGTTGTACATAGGAGTGATTGAGAATTACACCACCATGTGCGAGTTTGTCTAGATTGGGAGTTATCATCTCTGGGTTGTTCCATCCTACATCATTCCAGCCTATATCGAAAATTATTAAAAAACATTAATTGCAATACACCCGTTGACAGTTTAACACTGCGCATGCGCTTAGCCTAAGGCAGGCTTTCAGATTTGAAAAGTACAGGAGGACTACTAATGACTCCCCTAGAACACCATAGCCATAGGGGGACTTTTCACGCTCCATAATCACACCCTTAAGAGGCATGATGGAGAGCTCCATTAAAAAATCACACCCTTAAAAGGCATGATGGAGAGCTCCACTAAAAATCACACCCTTAAAAGGTCTGCCATTGTTTTAAGATACGACGAAGGGTGTATGAAAGCTGCATTCTCATTGGCTACTGAAACAAGAGTTGGGCTAGAATAGATACTCCAGTCAGGGCTCGCGATCCATTGCAACTCTATGGACAGGAAAAACTAGCCTCAAGGCCACGCGTGATGCGGCGGCTTTTGATGTACACGATCGATCGATCGCGTACTATATATACGGCCTGCGTAGCACGCGCGGCATACACAACCACACACACTTGCAGCGTCAAATAAACGCACACACTGGCCAACGTCTGACAATCTCAAACAGTGAACTAATCCGTGTCTATATTGTAAAGCAAACTATATTTATTATTACAATGGTATTAAATGAAGGTACTGTTAGTAGGCTGTTGGACTGTAAAATGAAAATTTGTACATTCTAACCCCCGCCCATGGCCTAAAATTTTCTCTGATTGATGTTAGACGTTTCAACAAAATCGACCCTGGGACTGTGAAATGCCGCGAATTTCCGCGATCCGCAGAAGATTCTCATCCCTGTAAAATGGACGCGCTATTTCAACATAATCACACAAGACTTTTGGTGCGCCGATTTTAACCACTTTTATGAGGCACGATGATCGCGCGCACATGGCACAATTTATGGTGCGCGGTGAGCGCGAGCGCGATCGCGCCCCTTAAAAATGAAAGCCTGCTAAGGTCAAAGGTCGGGAGGAGTTTCCGTCCCAGGAAAGCGCGAGTAAAATGCGCGAACAATGGCGTTAACGTGTAGTGTGAAGGGTCGGCTCAAACGGATCATCATTGGCTTAAGACTTTTAGAGCATGCATTGACGCATAATTTAAATGTATCAAGTGTCATGTCATCCAGGTCATGCCATTTCGGTGCCTATTCTCTGCTACGTCTGCACTGTCTTTCGCACAAAAGGTGAGCGACCTGCGTATGCAAGGCAGATAACGGCATCGAGATAAACAATATTGCGAGGAGTTTACTCGGCACATCCGGGCTCTCGCGGAGATGCGTTAACTAATGGCGGCAGAACATAGGCGCAGAACTGTCAATGGGTTGATTCTGTAGATATTTCCTCCGTAAAACGTGTAAACAGTATAGTCTTCAAAGGACTATATCGAAACGGAAAGAGACAAAGTTGCTTATAAAATAGACAGATCAACACTGCGGATTGCAGTAGAAAAAGCTGATATGCAATTTAAGAGGAAGGCAGAGTAAAATATTGTTGAAATATTTGTTATAATTATAGGCAGTGGCTACGGGTACGGTAGCCGTATCTTAATGTCTGCGAGGCTACGGGTACGGAGTCCATTCGCTTTCATACTTAACGCAGCACAGATGGCGGCGGTCCCGCGAGTTTCGAAATAAACGCCTTGGGAAATAAATTCACAATTTGATGAGTTTTAGATGAGCTAGAACCCTAACCCTAACCCTAACCCTAAACCCTAACCATAAACCCTAATCCTAACCCTAACCCTAACTCTAACGCCAAAAAGGGGCTTCAACGACGACGGCTACCGTACCCCGTAGCCACTGCGTAATTATAATTTATACCAAGTTCAAGTTGTGCTGGCCACAGGCACTTGAAGGCATTTCAACTGTAAACACACGCGACGCCATATTGCGCGCCACACTCACAACATAAATTATAGAGTCTCTATATTTATGTGTCAGGTGTGCGACGCCAATGAGCGGTCGGCGTGTGTTTACGTTGAAATGCTTCTATGCCTGTGGTTGCTGGCAGTTACTTGCAGTTTTCTCTGAATGCATCGTCATTAGCTATCTATGCAGTTTGTTGTCCACATATAGGTCAGATATACGTTTGGGAAGTTAGAACTTAACCTACCTACTTATCAATTAATAATTAGTATTATTGTATTAAGGATTATTTATATACATTATTAGAGTAAGGACTGAAGTCTAATAGACAGTTGGTAACTAAGTTGAGTACAAGTTCAACTACTAACGCTAGACATCATCTGCTACAATGAACACCGATGCTTTGCGTTGCCTTCGTTTGTTGTAATGAAGACACTACTATTATTCAGCCAAACAAGCAAAAGAGTGCACACACCGGAAAACCTCGGTTCCTATTGGTTTCATAGTTTTGTTTATGAAGAGATATTCTTATTGTGAGTTATGAAACGTTTAGTTTATGAGAGAAATAACAAACATTTTCATTTTCACGCCGCCTACGCATCAATACCACCACGTGACGTATTTACCCTCTGCGAACATTGCACGACGACGCCAACAGCAAGCATAAACGGATTTATATCGAATACTGTGTAACAAACTAACTAGTATAAGACGACAAAAGAATTTTAAATGCATTACTTTGATGTTATTTCTACTCCTAGTAATTTGAAA